TTAAGGTCTTGGTCAATTTGAATTCCAAGTAATTTTGCGGTAGTAACCGTCTTAATTTTCTCACCATGGAGTGATAAAGTTAGGTTTTCTGATTTTTTTTTGTATTTTGATGAAATCAGCATTGATTTTGTTTTCGAAGGATTGATTACCATCCCGTTGTTTTCACACCATTTAGCAACCAAATAGAGATCATTTTGTATATCATTGGCGATGGATAAAAATATCTTTGTGTGAACAATGCAGGGTACTGTCATCACCAAACAAATCTATCTGACTTGATTCAATATTGAGTGGGAGATCATTTATAAAAATAAGGAATAGGAGAGGACCCAGGATCGAACCTTGTGGAAACCCGTATTTGACTGTAGTAATTGAGGATGTAATTGATCCTAAACATACTTTTTGCTTCCGTGAGTCAAGATATGATTCATTCAAAATTTGTGAATTATTATCAAATCGATAAAGATGTAGTTTTTCAATAATAACCTTGTGATCAATGAGATCAAATGCTTTGCTAAAATCAAGATAAACTAGACCACTCATCGCACCATTATCGATAGCATCAAGCACGTGACTGAATGTCAAAAATATTTGCTGTTGTGTAATAGTTTGACCGATCAAAATTACTTTAGTAACGAAGTCTTAGAGACCCTCTATATGAAGAGAGAGCACTGGGGGTCTCTAAGACTTCTTTACTAAAGTAACTGACCTATCGCAGCTGTCAATCAAAATAATAAATCAACCAATCCGATCTATATGGTCTGACGTAAATAAAAGTATTTCCGGCAGACCTCAACCACCAACCTGGCATAATGGTAAAGAGATGTGCTTGGCGTACGTGTAATTCGAACAGACTGACGGAGGGTAACCTTTATTCCTTTCCCAAAGCTTGGAAGAACAAGCGATACCAGACGATGGGTAAGTTGATGTGGACGACCAGTTAAACGAAGAGATGGGTTTAGTAATGGGTGAGCGGAGAAAAGCAAACATCTTTTTGTTTGCACTAACTTACTAAGGTTATTATATAGACTTTTTTGCCTACTCTTTTTTTTTTCAAACAAAATACACTCGACCATTTTCATCATTATTTTTCTTAGGTACCGGTAGGCCTTATCTTATAGGATAATAAATGTGATTGTTTTTACAATGTGACATTAAAATGTCAGTATTTCCTCTCAGACATTTTATAAATTGATATATTCATTCGGTTATTGCACCAGGGCAGAAGTGACAGTCAGTAGAAACAATCTTGTTCATAATATAATTAATATAGTTGATCTTATTTGACTGTAACTCATATATAGGACTATACTACAGAACAGGTCTGCAGGCTAAATAGTTTGGGCATGGGCGCAGGACCCGACAAGGACAACTGTCTAGTCGTTTGGATGGGATGAAAAACCGAGGTCCCGTGTACATATTGGTGTGCACGTAAAAGATCCCTTGACAGTTGGAAATCGATAAAAGAGTAGGCCGTAGTGCCACTGTCCGGGAAAAATTTCCCTCATGGCACACTGTATGGCGTATACCCGTTTTCATTAGCCCAGTTCAGAGCAGAACAGTAGGACGTTAAACCCCATTTCATTTCATTTCGGGCATGTGCCTTAAGTTTGATTAAGACGTTAACAAAAAAAAGAGAAGGCAGACAAAGCAAATCAAGTTGCCAATTAAAAACTAGATAGTAATTATCTACGAGAATGAAATGGTCATGTAAATTTACTTATATTATGTATCATAATAATAATATTCTTATTATTTTTTTTCATTTTTCATCCAGATCCCATCGCTGCACTGCATTATGATCAATGATCATATTGCTCAACCAAGACCACCACCTAAACCCAGTTCAAGTAATTTTTTTGAGAAACCTGCAATAGTTGAATCAAAGGTAACAAATGGGTTTATCAGCTTTAGAATGATTATTTCCTGTCACATGTGCTCACAGTATTCATACGAGGGCTTAGAATCACTGTCTTCTGCCCTATACTGGGGGTTTGGGTTGTCGAATGGTTAACACATGCATTTTAGATCATAAGGGCTGTCAGTGAGTCAAGTGGGGTGGTTTCGAACTATTCGAACCAATACTTGTCTGTGGCAAGGCCAGTCTGTCAAACCACGTGGGTTTCCTCCGGGTCCTACAACGTGGAGCGGGATTATTGAAAAAAAATTGGACAATTTATCAGTCCAAAATTGCCCTATCTAGTTTGTGTCGACACTACAAACTGCTCTATATCATTTTAGATGTATTTCATTTAGATCCTGCTATAAAGTACACACATTCTTTATGTAACTGTAAGTTATGATAATAGCATGAAATTAAAATTGAGAAAATTGTGTTAATGCTGTATTTTTTTTGTATTAATGGCTAGTCTAATTATAATATTTATTGAAATTAGACACCAGGTTTTAGCAGCAAACAATTAAAATATTTTACTGCCGTATTTACAAAATTAGTCTCTGGTATAAAAATTTTGAATATAATTAATTATTTATGTACAAATTTTATATAATTATGAATTTCTTTTACAGAGTTTCTATAAAGTCAAATCAAATTCAGAATAAAAACGGTGAAGAAAATGCTTTGATTAATAAAATGGTACAGACAGAGAATATATGCTATAGACATTTTATAGACATATAGATTTTTTATAAGATATGGCTGTAAATGTTCAACATAAAAACATGATTATTTTGAAACAAGTTGCTGCGTGGTTTCTTTTTCGGGATATATTCTCTCTATGCAGAATCCTGTCTTGTAAAAGTGACAAAGTTGCAAAATTGTGCCCCAGTTATGAGAAGTTGTCCCTGAAATTGGCCTGAATCTGAAACCAGTGAATATGGTTTCTAGACAATTTATATTCATCATCATTTTGAATTATACTATTCAAAAAAAGTAGGGGATATTTGATTTTTAAGTGTTATTAAAGTCACCTAATGAAACTGACGAAGAAACAAATGACAAAATGAAATGAAGTTCACATTCATCGATTTATTCCAAATGATCGTTAGACTAAGTAAGGCACAGACTGACCATTATAAGGGTAAAATGATACCCGGGGTCAAACAGCAAAGTTACCACAGCATCACAACCAAGTCAGTAACGGGTAAACCCTCCTCTGTTTGCCAAACAAGCATTGATCCGACGTGGCATACTCCTAATGAGACGTCTAAGGTCATTTTGGTCCAGATTGTCCCATTCCTGTTGCAACGCAGCAGCAAGTTCTTGGACATTGGCAGGACGTTGTTGACGTTGACGTAACCTCTGTCCAAGCATGTCCCAGACATGCTCGATGGGGGAGAGGTCGGGACTCAGTGCTGGCCAAGGTAATGTGGTGATGTTCTGTTGTTGGAGGTAACCTGTAACGATCCTGGCCCTGTGACATCTTGCGTTGTCATCCTGGAAGATGAAACGGCGGCCATGACGTCGTGCGAACGGCACAACATGGACTGCCAAGATGTTGTCCCGATTGTACTGGCCTGTAACACGCCCTGCAACAACATGTAAAGCCGTTCTTCCAGCAACAGTGATGCCTCCCCACACCATAACAGAACCACCCCCAAATCGATCATGTCTGATGACGTTAACGTCTTGGAAGCGCTCGTTTCGACGACGCCACACCCTCCTACGTCTGTCCAAAAAATCAACAGTGAACCTTGACTCATCTGAAAACATCACATTGCTACAGCGTCGATTATCCCAGTGTTGACGATCCCTACACCAACGACGTCTTGCCTGAATGTGATGATCTCTCAAACAAGGGATCACGCGAGGACGTCGGGCGCGAAGGTGACCCCTATGCAGTCGATTCCGAATCGTCTGGCCACTCACTCTCACACCAGTGTCTGTTTGAAGACGAGCGCTGATCTGATTTGCTGTGATGACACGATTTCTCAAGGCCAAGGTACGGATAAATCGATCCTGGGCTTGAGTTGTCGACCTGAGCGTGGTCTGTCCTGTACAGATTGTGTATCACGGTATCTGGACCATAGCCTGCTTATGACAGACTGAGAAACATTCATCGTCCGCGCCACAACCGCCTGTGTTGTGCCGATCTGTAGCATGCCAAGGGCACGTAACCTTTCATTTTGGGTAAGCCGACGCATATCAAAATTTGTTTTCTGGTCACTAAAACAATTAAACTGATGTTTCCACCCTGGAATTCAATGCCACAATGACTGTAACATTCAAAGTCAGAGTCGTGCAAATCTTGGGTTGGACCCCCATGATGATCCCAAGCATCACCTGCATTCCATGCGGTAGCTATTGGTGCGTTTGGGCGTCACATGTAACTGGAAATGTTTCTTCTGTTAGGTTCTATAGTGACTTTTTTCGTAGTCATTTGCATATTTTAGTATTATGCCCCCAAAATCAAATATCCCCTACTTTTTTTGAATAGTATACAAAAAAAACCTTTCAATTTATTACATGCTTCTGTAAGTGTCAAATCTGGAGCTCAAAAAGGACATTTAATTTCAACGAGCCCAGTCTCGCCTTTATCACAAACAATTGCATCTGGTGTAGCACCTAAAAATGAAAAAGCTTGATTTATTACAAGTCCAATGTCATGAATATGATTCCCAGTCTGTTTGATATACATTTGTTTAGCAATGGTTTCGTTTGGTTGCTTATAAGAAGTGGGAACAGAATAAAAATTACTTTTGTCAAATGTGTTTTTTAAAAAATGAATTGTTAATTCTTTCTTTTCATAATAGCTCCAAAATTTGAGGCAGTAACACCACACTTTCTTTCGTTCATACAGGTCTTATTATTATTTCTTGTGAATCTCTCTATTTGTATGGCTTCATCTTGCTTTACATCTATTTATTTCCACTCAACTTTTATCTTTTCTATCTGATTTAAATCTAAGTGTACATCAACTGGTTTTGGAAAAACTATTTCACCACATTTATCAGAGTTCTCTGTTCCCGGTTGAGTTGTCACTTGCATAAGGGGTGCCTGAAATACATATTGTAATCTATTTACTGTATATATTTTTCAGGATTTCAACCGATGGACATCTTGGCCCTTGCTGTAGAAAATATGAAATTTAAGGAAGAAGATGCAAAATTAATTGTGTAATATGAAAATCTTAAATGCAGTCAAGTTTATCAAGTAGATTAAAGAACTAGTATAAACCTATCAGCACAATGTTTTAGCTGTTCAACTTTAAAAAAAGATTCATTTCAGTATTATACTGGCTTTCCTTATGACTGTTTTTTATAAGTTACCATTTGAATTTTCTAAGAATAGTAGCAGCTTAGTTTTTCTCTAGACGATCAACTTCTATTAGTGCTAGGAGGGTAATCTGAGCTCAACAGCTACATGTATATACAAATAACTATTTACATATTAAAAGTTAAATCTAGGAAATCACTTCTTCCAATACAAGTCTTCCTTCGAAAATCCAGATTGAATTCAATTTCTATCAGTTTTAAGATATTCGATTCGGTAATTAAACCCGTTTTGTTGTATGGTGCCGAAGTATGGGACTATGAATATAGGAAGGAAATTGATACTATCCATTCACAATTTTGCAAATTTGTTCTTCAAATACATAAGGGGGGTTGGATGGCTGAATGGTTAGCGTGTGCGCGCTGTATCATAAAGTCTGTCATTGAGTCGACTGGCGTGGTTTCGAATCCCCAGTTGTACGTGACAAGGAGTAGGGTCGCCTGTCCAACCTCGTGGGTTTTCTCCGGGTCCTCCCACTGCTAAAGACCCCTACGCGCAAGCGAATTATTGAAATAAAATTAAACCATATGTTAGTCCCGAAATGACCTAGTTTGTGTCGAGTGGACGTTAAACCCCATTTCTCTCTCTCTCTCAAATACATAAACTAGTTCCTGGGAAGGGACAAAAGGTGAATGTGGTGTTTTGTATATGTTATCATTCATAAAATATTACTGAATAAAGCATTATTATTATTATTAAAGATACATTCTGGTAGATGGGATAAAGAGCTGGCAGTTTTTACGAAATAGTTAAAACTAGATAATGTAAAGGGAATTTGCTAAAAATTTCAGTCAAATTGATATACTCTGAACCGAGATTTTAGCGACTGAATGTTCGGGCTAGCCTCGGCCATCATTACTAAAGTCGGTACGATAAAAAAAACATAGTCTCGATTATCCATTTCATGATAAAATCATTTAAGTAATGTCTAATTAAGTAGATAACATTTCAGGCCTAAAGAAAGACCTGCAATAGGTAGATTTATATACAAATAGTATGAAAAGCAGACAGAAGAGGATCTTGTAAATATACTTAAAGGAGCTAAATCGCTAATATTTGGGATCTAGAAATTGACACAAATGGGTCGCAACGCATATAATAATGTAATATAAATGTATATAAACTGATTTACATTCAATCGTTTCTGTTTTTACTCTAATTTCTAATCAGTTATGTTCGGCGAAATACGCCAGAAGTCTCAATTGAAGACAATCTTTAGCGTCTGGTTATTCCAGTCTAAACCGATGGTATTTATTGCGCATGCTTTCCAGATAAGAATATAGCATCACCATTTGACATGACTTGTGGAATATGTCTAGCCTCGTTCTTTGAGTCCCTTGTTCCAAATGGCACTGAAACGCATTATGGTACACGATTCGTGTACCAAAGACAAAATGTTTATTTTGTCTTGAAAACATTTTGTCTTGAATATTTGATATCAGAAGCCAATCTTTTCCAGGTAAGATCACAAGACCAATTTTGGTTTGAATTGACAAATAATTCGTGTTTTCAATGTCGAAGAATTTTGATGATATTGAGTTAGAGACTTACTGTGTGAACCATCGTAAATTTTAAACGCATTTCTTCGATTATGAACAAACTACTTAACTTTCGTAATTATAAACTTACCTGTGTGTTTGAAATCAACTCCCGTCCAATAAAATCCATTGCACAACTAAATATCCCAACGTATAAAAAAGTTCTCTCTTGACAAATTTGACTATTTACTTGTATTTTCTACTGAGTAGACGACAACGATGCTTTCGTTACGTGTTGGACGACCCCATTGCAGCTGTTGCGGGGGTGGTTTAATTTTGACAGATAGTTTGATAACCACGTGTTACAATGAAAACAAAGCGCGATCATTACGATCGTTTGAGTTTGGGCGACGGAAAATATCAACTGAAGATTTATATTGAAACCATGGACCGTATAGTCCCGTTGGTTGGATTCTCTGCCGCTCGCTCGAGACATGACGAGATCTCAATTGTCACCGGCAAATCAAGCGATGTGATATTTGACATAGCTGGATTTTATACAGATTACTTTCTCGAACTTACAGTATTCTTATATTTACATGGTAATATTTCAACCCAATAAGTTTTCCTATCCGGTAGTGACGAATTTCTCCAGTTTAGTACTTTGAAATTTCCAAATGTAGCAGTTTAAAATTGTGGAATGATCGATTTCAATATTTTCGTAGTTTTTGTAAACATTTTGGTTTTGATAAATACTCCAAATTCCCGCTTTTACGAAGGATTTTAAAATTATGAAAATAAAGTTTAGGTATAATACTGTCCGGAATGATGATTAATTGTGCAGAAGTAAAAATTAAAAGAATATTTTAGTTTGTTTTAAAACTCGAGATGTTTTTTTTTTTTAATTCACACGGGCGCGTCCGATGTAAACAAAGACGATGTGTTGATACATTTACTACATTTATAGTAGTCTATCTATGTATGGATTGCAAAGAAAAACAGAGTAGCAAGATTAATAAAAAATATTATGAATTGATTTATGTTTCTTTGCTTTTAAACTTAATACTGGTAATTGCGCGAGGGGAGGTAATTTTATTTTAGTCACGATTGTCCGGTCTATTTTTTGTTGCGGCACAGAATTCTAAAGGCTTTGTGGACGTTTCCTGTGTATCTGTTACAGTCAATGTCTACAATCAGGCAATGTGTACAATGCCTGAAATAACCAGTCAATGTGTACATTGCCTAATGAGGCCAGTCATTGTGTACATTGCCTAACATTTCCAGGCATTGTGTACGTACATTGCCTGATTAATTAGCCCAATTATTGTACACATTGACTGATTGTTGAAGAGCGATTATTGAGAAGACTAGATTACGGTCGGATGCAAAGTCAGTATTGTTGACGAAAGAAGAGTATTATAGTTTGATAGAAGAAGTCAAGGTTGTCCTAGTAGCTTGGGAGGTATGAGATCTTGCAGTGCGGAGACATTGAGAAGTTGATCAAAAAGAGAAAACCAGAATCAGAATCTGCAGTGGGTTATTTCACCCATATTGATGAGATGTTTGACATCCTAAAGCGTGAAACCTATTATCTCCAAAGATTACTTGTCCCGTGGACAGGTGGATCTTGTGGACATGCAGTCAATGGCCAGTGGATCACAAAAGTGGATCATGGTATTCCAAGACCACTTTACCAAATTCTGTGTTCTTCGTCCGCTCACCTCCAAACGTGCATGTGAAGTTGCATATCAACTCATAGATATCTTCCTGCTGCTTGGTGCACCTGTGATTTTGCAAAGTGACAATGGATCTGAGTTCACTGCCTCCGTGATCACTGAACTGAAGCTCATGTGGTCTGACTTGGTCTTGGTGCATGGCAAACCCAGACATCCACAGAGTCAGGGTTCAGTTGAGCGACTTAACTGCGATGTGAAAGATATGCCTGTAGCGTGGTTGGGTGACAATAATACCACTGATTGGCCTGTGGGACTAAAGTTTGTTCAATTTCAAAAGAACAATAGCTATCACTCCACCATCAAGATGTCACCATTCAAAGCCTTGTTTGGTTCTGACCCAAAAGTTGGGCTGCGCTCCCTGCCACTACCTGATGAAATAATTGAACGGCTTGTGACAGAAGAGGATTTTCTCCAAGCACTTCAATCAGCAGCAGACACATCGCCCGAAGCTCCTTCAGCAGAGACCTCACCCGAAGCTCCTTCAGCAGAGACCTCATCCACATCTGTGACAGCATCTGCAGAGACATCACCCGAAGCTCCTTCAGCAGAGACCTCACCCACATCTGCGACAGTATCTACAGAGACATCACCGACTGAAGCACAGCAACTTGATGTACAACATGCCAATATCATGTCATGTCGAAAGAGAGCTGCTGATGGTATCCTGACGCAAGCTGAGAGAATGATAAAGTGCAGTCGGGTAATCAATGTTGCTGCTAACCCTGGGGACAACGTGACCGTCCCCATCCCCATGGTTGATCGTGGAAAGGGTGACGCACGCAGCGTTATGGGTGTGGTTCTGGACAGAAATGAAAATGACATGTACAAGATTGGTGTACAGGCAGGTGTCCTGAAAGGGCGATATTCAAGAAATCAATTTGACCTTTGCCCCCAGAGGCTTTACACTCCCAAAGACATTACCACAGAGAAAGAAATTGGACTTAGACAAGCAGTTCAAACAGAATCAAAATGCGGAGGCCAAGGTTATACGAGGTGTAACTGTTCTAAAGTGGGAAACAGTGTGCCACAAATAAGTGTAAATGTTACAAGTTGGGTTTGTTATGTAACAGCAGATGCCACAACAGCATCAATTGTCAAAACAAAAATTGTTGACATATTTCATGGCCACTTATATCATGGTTGTAATCAAGTTGACAAGTACATGAGTATTTCACATGTATTCTATCGGGAAATCAGAAATTCATGTATTTTCATACTGTGTGAAATAAAGTCAATTCATCCTTCAAAGTGTGTATGATATTTGTCATTTATTTAGTTAAAAACAACAACTCTAGTGACAATCCTGTTATATTAATGTTTTAATCAAAGTCAATTTAATCATGAAGTACATTTTCCTTTCAAAGTCATTTTTAAAGTTAAAGTGATTTTTTAAATCAAATGATAACCGACAAAGAACCTATTAAAGTATCTTTTATATGAAATGAAGCCTATGTGATCACAGAATGAAACCTGTGGTAATCTAGTCTTCTCAATAATCGCTCTTCAACAATCAGTCAATGTGTACAATAATTGGGCTAATTAATCAGGCAATGTACACAATGCCTGGAAATTTTGGGTAATGTACACAATGACTGGCCTCATTAGGCAATGTACACATTGACTGGTTATTTCAGGCATTGTACACATTGCCTGATTTTAGACATTGACTGTAACATATCTATATACACGGTACATGTTGAAACCATTGATCGCCAGTCTATCAAATTTTATTCACAATGAAAATATCACTGATACTCGTAAAAATAAAGTCATATATAAACTAAAAATATGTTATTAATTTATCATATTAAAGATAATCATGGGTAATATTTAAGGCCCGTAAAACAATTGTAATTGTTGTTGTGCAGCATATGTGTGTTCCGAAGAAAATTATCTCATCCGAGTAGCTAATCAAATAATTAAAACAAAATATTTCAAAAGGTAAAGTTATAAAATTTGCGCAGAGATTTTACTAGAATGTAAAAGACGGCAACAAAATAAAAGAATACGAACAGTTATGTGTGTGAACGCCCAAACTCAATGCCGAGCCGAGATTTTTAGCTTTTTCTTAAACCAAACTTGAATTGTCGTAAAAGTGCCGATTTGCTATGCTGTCACCCCTTATACGAAATGATATCGCCCGGAGAGTGACGTAATCATCTTCCATATTGGTATTTTTCTGTGTCAAAGTTTGTGGGAATTCAATTTTTCAAGAGAGAATTTTTTTATTCGTTGGGATAATTAATTGTGCAGTGGATTTTATTTAACGGGAGTTGATTTCAAACACACAGGTAAGTTTATAATAACGAAAGTTAAGTAGTTTGTTCATAATCGAAGAAATCCGTTTTAAATTTACGATACATTAAGTATCGTTGGGGTCTTTTACAGGCCGATTTCTTATAAGCTGCGTCATGACGTCCCTTTAATTTAATGGTTGCAATATATGAGGGCTATTGAATTGAAGTTAATGCTAAAGACTTGCTGTCGTTTAAACAGGAGACATGTAAACTTTTGATGATATATATAGAATGAGAACATCACACACATCAATTATTCGGTATCAAATTATTCTAAGTTTTGAGTACTTGGTCCAGGAGTAGTAGATGACCGAATTATTACACGGTAATAAACAAAGTATGTGTAGGCTTTTGGTTTGGACTAAAAACCGAGGTCCCGTGCATACATTGGCGTGTACGTAAAATATTCCTTGGCACTTAGAATTCGATATAAGAGTAGGCTACAGTGCCGCTGCCCGGGCAAAATTCCCTCATAGCACTCTGTATGGCGTATGCCCGTCTTCATTAGACCAGAATAGGATCATCAAAATCTGGATTTATTTGTAAATATTTGTACCCCAATAGTCGACTGTATTTCTCATTTTGAGCACATAGATACTTGGTTATGTAATACGGTAATAAAGCTAC